AGAGTTACTACCACTCTCTATCATCCATGAATCTATCTAGCCTCCTTTTGAAACTTTCCAGCGTTCCAGCACTTACTACAAAGTTGCTAAGCTTGTTCCATTCGTCCACCACCCTATTTGTGAACCAGTTCCTTCCTATCCCCCTCCTAACCCTAAACTTATCCAACTTAAATACGTTGCTCCGAGTCCTATCCTGCTCGGATATTATAAGAACTTTATCTATATCCCCTTTATTGATTCCTTTCACCCACTTAAATACTTCTATCATATCTCCCCGCACTCTTCGTCTTTCAACCCGACTCTCACACCCTCTCTCACTACATCCTCACTTGCCCTATGACCTCCTCCTATAGGTTCCCAGCTGTTACCAACACCTCTTCCCTCCCAGACCAGATATCCCTCCTCCTAGTCACAGGCCTGGCATTTGACATTATTAGGGACCTGCCACTCTTTGCCATAAACAGATAAAATGTACCGGGAACTTTCCCCCCACACTCTCATCATTCTCTCACTTTATGTAACTTGACAAAACCTATGACCCTTCAGGCTTTTACGCCCTTTATGTACGAGTCATAAAGGCAAGTATGAACTTTTCATACTTCCCTGTTGGGCGCTGTAAACGCTTCTGCGCTTCACCTTGCACAGGATGTAAGGGGGTGCCCAATAAACTAGCCCCCTCGGGGGCAAATCTGAATCTGAATCTGAATCTTCGTCTTTCTAGGGAATGCAAGTTTAGTTTCTTTAACCTATCTTGATATGGAAGGTTTTTAAGTCCCGGAATCATTTTCGTCATTCTTCGCTGCACCGACTCCAGTGAATTGATATCCATTCTATATGGGCACCAAAAATGAACCGCATAATCGAGGTGCGGCCTTAACGGCGAACCTCGGTAATAATCACTTCACTGCATAGCTGGCGTGGCCATATTTGTTTTTGCATAAATTGACACCATAAGTATTGATGCCTAAGAAAGTCATAACTGAGATACTGAACCACCTCCTGATCGAAACTTATATCCAACACACGCTCTTGTAATAAGGACCGGATATTACATGTAACTAGTCACTAACAGGAATATAACACGAGTTGCTTCTGCCTGAAATAATGGGCAACGTTCTTTATGCAGCTGTTACAATACTCACCGATAGTTCCGAGAAATGTGGCTCCAAGCTCGACTCCAGCGCTTCGTTGCTTCGTTCGTGCGCTCCTGCCACTAGCAATTTTTGATACAAACGACAGGTTGTATTCCCAGCTGTAGAAGTTCTGCAAGATGAATACATTTTGAATAAAATACACATAATGTCATGAAATAATCAAAGATTGTTGCATATGCTAAATAAAGACCTTTTACTTTGTATATTACGAATCAGTTATCGTAAGATATGGCTTCAAGAAATATAGGCATACTATCATGACCTCACAATATTTACTACTATCTCTAAATTACCTACAATTCTTTGGAAGCTTTCACTCTCCTAGCTAAATTCAACTCTGGAAACTATCCAAACAATCACATTTCGAGGTCTTCCTTCTCTAAACCACAAACAACCTTTAAATATTATGGATATGAGAAACGACAACTCTTACTTTTAAGGATAGGGTTGTGGGATATGGGATGTTTGGTGTTCACTCAGGATGATGGGACGGAGAAAGGAAACTCACAATGTGCTCTCTGTATACATGTTGTATTGGATGTACAATGCAGCTTGGTGCTGGGAAGGCAGCATGGTTACTAGCGTGATGTAGAGAGAGCTGGTTGGTGAGGGTGCTCAGAGGAGGACAGCTTGTGGGTCGCCATGCTCGCCGGCGGGAGCGAGAACCGCCAGGCAGGCGGAGGTGGTGTTGCTGGCTGGTTGGTGTAGGTAGAAAGAGAGAGATCACCACGAGGTCAGGTCTTAAATAGCGGGGGGTAGGCGTGGCTTAGTAGTTGACCTCCGTGATGTATGGCGGCGCTGGTTGACCCAGACCACGAGGCATACACTGGGGAATTCGTGGGGTCGGCTACTCAGCGACAAACAGCGTTTGTGGGGGAGAAATCCACTACAGGGTCTCATCAATATACTTCATTCCAGGTCCATTCTGCAGGAAAGAACGACTTGGCGTAAATATTGTATACCCAGGCCAAGAATCGTAGGTCCCAAGGTCATCCAGTCCTCTTCAGGTGACAACAGAAAATAAATATTTACTGGCACTATAGAAGGATGGAGCACTCCATTGGTCGAACACTTAACACCATCTGTGAGGTAATTACTACACCACGCCAGGTCCCTCATAACACCATCTAAGGGAACTACTACATCACGTGAGTTCCTCCTAACACCATCTGGGAGGGAGTTACTACACTACGAGTTTGCTGTTCAACACCTACATTAATCTGTATGTTCACTGTATGTTCCTTTACCTTTCTCTAATGAAGGCTTTTGTTAAACCACCAATGTATGTAATAAGTCATTAATGTCCAATGTATATTTTCAGCCTTCGGGCTGCAGAATTTTTTCAATAAACCGCTAATAATTATAATTATAATTATTATTATTATTATTATTATTATTATTATTATTATTATTATTATTATTATTATTATTATTATTATTATTATTATACTGAACACCTTCACACCAAGCGATTGTAATGTTAACAAAATAATTACCAGAAGGAATAAAAGAAAGAAGACGAATAAATAAGCAAAATCCCCCTTCTATTGTTTTGCTCCTATTTTTTTAATAGCTTCAATGGGAACCCGGTACTGTACGGTTATTAAGAATTTTGAGAATTTAAGGTTGTAATAGAGTTAAGAAAATTCTGAGACACTTTTCTTCTGACTCACAAACGACCTTTGTTCCTAACCTAACCTAGTAGTTTGTGAGGGAAACTTTATAGAAGAAAAGTGTCTTAGAATTGTGTAAGCTATTGATTGTAAGCATAGAATTCCCAAATTTCTTGTATGAGCTGGATACTGTTGTATTGTCGAAAATATAAGTCTGAACTTTGAAATTTTTAGTCATTATTCGTTTTATAACCGTCCATGAATTTTTGGACGAAATTATGTTTTCCTGTATATCTAAATTTATTTTTTAATGGATTTTACATTAATTTTGGGGGGAAAACTCAAGAAAACCTTACTAACCTAACTCAAATTGTGTGGTAAAAACATGCGAAAAAAAGAATCAAACCTCACTTTACCTAACCTAACCTTCTCTTTGTCTAGGCAATTTTGTGTCATTTTGTGAAAACCAAAATAATTAAGAATCTGTAAAGTAACACCACGGAACTTTATGTTAATTTTGTTTTAGGGAGACAGAGCAGAATTAAAAATAAATTTTTGTGTTTTTGTCTCAAAATTTATATTTTTCCAGTTGCAGGTATCCCTCACTTTACTCATGTTCACTCCAAATATTTGCTTGTACAAATATTCTTTTCTTACGCCCTTTTCTCACTCTAGTATACAAAAGCTATGGTTCCATAAAAAATTTACCAAATTTATATTTAATTAATTTCTTTATGTGCTCGGTGCCAAATTACAGTAATTGGGTACTAAATTACAGTATGTAAGAACTAATTTACAGTAGTTAGGTAGGTTTGTTTGTGTAGTCAAGAACAGAAATGGGCTTTAACGGGCCATTAGGTAAATAAGGTAATTAATATATATTTTCTTTAGGCCCCATCACTTCTTTGCAAATGTTTAAATCTGTCACTGGAAATTTTGTAGCACAAACAAAGAACCTTATATTCATGCTGAACTGTAACCCTGCATAGTTTATAATACAGTACATGACAATTTAACTTTATATATATTATTATTATTACTATTATTCGAACTTGGAATAATGTTGCCTGATCTTCAAAATTTTCCCACTGTAGGAGCCTAATCTTAAAACCTACAGTCTTAAATTTCCAGCAATTCATTGATACAAGTACAGTAGATGTGTAGTTTTGAAGCTGTACTGTACAGTACTTTTTTTAAAAACGTTGGTATCAATAAACGAGCGAGCACAATATAAGATGTGAAAAAGTGGCGTCACTGCCAACTCTTGTTACGAACTAGTAAATACAGTACCGTGATGTTCTTTATATCACTACAGTACTAAAATAGTACTTTCACTGTGCAAATACTGTAAAGCTTTTACCATGGGTTTTAGCAGAGTGGATAGAACTGCAGAGTTTTTATTACTAGTACGTATTGTACCAATAAAGTGGATACAACAGTACCTTACATGTACATCTATTACTGGCTCCATCGCAGAGTGACTAACACAGCCAGTATTCATTATTTTGTTTTAATTATGGTGATTAGTCCACCTGGGCATAGGTCACTGACCCACATTGGGGCCTAGGGGGGGTGGGTTGAAAAATAAAATAAACTGAACAATACACAAATACAGCGAGAGACGATATATATGTTGTGTTGTCAAAGTAAAAGAAACAATTGAGACCCTGCAATTGTGTGTAAATGAGGCAGAGAGTCAGATCAGCAACCTGGGACAAGGTCACAATTTTTGTGATGCCTTATGGCAGCAGGGTCTACCATTAGACAACATATTATGCTTCCAATATCATCCCAGGCGGTAGTACCTCCCTGTTGGGTGGCTGCCTACCACCTACTACCTCAATAAGTGGATGAATCTTTGTTGATTACTACAGAATGATACTGTACAGTATTATAGAAGTAATAATAAAGTTGTCAGTGCTTGTTATTTCATACTGATAATACATGTTGTGTGCCACTTGTGTTGCCTGGCTAACTCGAAGATATTGATTTGTTTATCGTCTTATGTTATTGTCGCCATACAGAAAGGTTAACAGTACTGTATTTCAATACGTCTGTAACGCAAGCGACAGACAAGTTACAAGATACGCAGTTATTCTTGCTACCCTACATATAAACCTTGTATTTTTTGTTTAATGTTCTTCAGTTTTGTATTACAGTACTGTACAGTATATATATTGAAAAACTAGATTACACAAGTAAATCTTTGGATAAGGAAAAGGAAAGAATCACGTAAAAATGTCTATTTTATACAACTGTACAAAATGGTATTTCATCCAGTCTACCACATTCAGTTGGGCAAACACTGTTTCGGCCAATAATTCTGTCAACTTATAAATGGTCAAGAAACACAGTTTACAACAAAGTCAGATTCAGTGACATACTTTAGACCAAGACTTAACTGTTTTCAGTCTGAGTAAAATATGAATTAAAATAATCTTCAGGCATTCATCTAATAAAACCTAACCTCTTCATCAAATAATACTTTGCACAACATACAGTCTATGTATCAAGACACCTTAAATCAATATATCATTATTATATTACTACAATATAAACTTTTTTATTATATCTGGTACTCAGACTCAACTCAGTTATGCCATTGCCTAAATTCTGTCCCCTGGAACTGAACAAACAGACATGTCAGTTCAAGAGTCGTGATTGGTGATGAAGGCCTATACATCATGGGAAGAAATTTTATGTGCTTGATTGAATAAGTTTTGAAAGATTTTTTTTCTGTTTGCATCCTTGGGTACAAGATTATTATTAATAACTAACATCTGTAATGCATGTAAAATACAATAACCTCCTTGTGGCATGCACTAACAGCAATCTTCATTCAAGAGTGGATACATATCCTCTATGTTCCTTTATCACAGTAATCATGAGGCTCATTTATCATGTTATTTGAACAATTGCTCACAGTTGGTCAGTCCAGTAAGATCAGAGGTGGTAGTATCCGTAACAATAACAATTTCATGTCTACACATAAGCTTTCAAACACATGAATTAAACCAAAGAAAACTGCGATGTAAAGAAAAAAACCAGAAGATAAATGTCAGTCTTCTCACTCACATCATTTTTTATAATAATTTAAACTATGTGACAAATTTACAGTGGTGATCCTAAAGATACGATTTTGAAATTTCTCTTTTTTATAAAGGGAAAATTAACTACACAAGAAAAAAAATGCTCAAGGTTCTAAATTGCAAACCACATCATTAATACTGAGTTGTTTCTGGCTTAAGCCTCAGCATGCCACAAAATGCCACATTAGAGCCTCTGTTTTAAAGCATTATACAAGTCTTATGACCCAGTCCTACCCAAATTACCTTTGCCTGTTGTAATAATCGTCCACAACAGACTACAGGCATTTGTGATCCTGAATCTGGACTTTGATAAATTTATAATACTTTAAAGACTCAGCCTTGAATTATCTACTCTAAAGGTGGGTTGGTCATCTTACAGTAATGGCAGAATAAGGGACTGAAGTTCCTCACTCTATACTGGATATTTTAAATTCATATTAAAACTTGACAATGATGGCAAACTAAGATATACTGGAGAATTCACATTCACTGTGATCAGAAAACAGCACCTTTAGTTTTGATACAGGAAGTCAGTAGTGAAGATAGAAAATAATGATAGGAGTTCTTGCCAAAGATGTCGGCCATCCCAGGATAATGTGTCATTTGAGTCTTGCACTCTCACAGGACAGTGTGGAAACGTGTTGGGTCTGATTGGGTTTTGACGGACAAGAGAGGTAGTTGCCTGGATAGTCAAGCTGCCTTTCCTTGCCATTCTGAGGATTTATAACAGTCGGACAAGCAGTAACATAGTTTGCTGTAATATGCTGAAAGCCGATGATTTTTTTCATTTTATCAGCGTGTATATTTTCTTAACAATTTTGTAAATACTGTAGTCCAAAACAAATAATTGAACTCTACTTTTCCTCAGATTGCAAGGAATAGAATGGCTAAACAATGAAGGCACTTTGTGTGCTTGCGACCAAAATAATTCTCATAAATGAGTGTAAGGTGAGAAAAGCCTCTGATATGAATTAGCACAAATTATCATTTAATATGGCAATCTTTACTTATTTGTATAAAAGAAAAAATATAACAACATATTGATGATGGTTATGTTGCACAAAACAAGTTCTTACTTTAGTGTATCCACATACATGTCTTGGCACTAAAACAGCAACGCAATGAATTGGAACACAATTATTCCCATTCATCAACTTTACCTCCTGACTTTTAAAGCCTTTGGATAAGAACATCTGAGATCACAAAAAATTCCCTAACAACATCAACAACTTGCAAAATGAAATAATAATAATAATAATAATAATAATAATAATAATAATAATAATAATAATAATAATAATAATGATCTACCGGTATACAGGTGGCTATGGAGGGACGCATGTTGCAGGTTTAAAGGTTAAGGGTGTGTGCAAACAACATGCGACCTTCCTGCCCCAGTGATATCTAGACTATCCAACAGTTCTTAAACACTGACATTCCTAAACTACAGAGGATTGAAAAAAAAAATGAAAAGTGAAGCGATATGTGTAGAACGATCGTTAGAAGCTGCTTATTTCAGCAGTAACAGCCTTCAATGATAGTTTGTACAAAGTGGAGAGAAACAGTGTATTATATAATACAATATTAAAGATGTGAAAGACACTGTCATAACGTTGCCTCACCATGGACTTGCAAACAGATTTCATTTTCTCTGAGTATAAATTACAAAAATATTTAATCACTTTGTTCACATTTGGATAGTCACAATATGCATTGCGTGATTCGATAACGCAGGTGTGTTTTTTTGTTTGTTTTTAAGTACAGTAGGCATTACAATGTATTTGCATGTTGATGACCTGGATGGGCAGTAGCCAGCACACTATACATTGAGTGTTTGTCAACGAGGCACAGAGCAGGTCACACTCACTCCTCCCCACACACACACACCATCTGCCACCCTTACATGTATATATCTGTACATTTTATTATGCAACCATCAATACCATTGGTATCATTCACTTAGGTTCAATGATTCAAATAAGTATGTATATAATTTATCAGATGCCTTTAACAGTAGTGCTATGCACATCCAGAGCTGTATATCTGAATATCAGATCACAAAAACTCTGCATGGTACATCAGTAATCAATACTGAACTACTAATGCTGTTATATTGCAGAAAACACATGCAAGCAATATCTGCAGGATTTGAGTATCATAGTTCCATTATCATCAGTGCCTTTGGTGGTGGTCTTTGATTGAACTTTTTCATAGCTGTCTCTGCCATGTTTGCCTTTGGCCAGGTAAACAGCTGCCACGATATGCCGGGACATCTCAGTACAGTATAGGACACTGGTACAGGGTAAGCTGCCAAACCTTGCAGTACAACCTTGGGAGTGTGAGCTTCCTTTTTGACTGATGCCTAGGGCCTAGATGAATTTTTTTAATGTAACCAAGCACTTGTAGGCAACAGATGAGTTACACAGGGGCACAGCTGTAATCCTTCACAAGGCATTTCCTGCACTGCGGAACATAGTGCTACACAAGAAGCCAGCTCAGCGTCTGATATGACGCAAGAATGAGCTGTCCTGGGGCGTGTTGTTAGTCTTTAACTAGACGATAAATGTGATGTTGTGCACCGTGCTCTGACGTAGAGACCTCAAACACATATGCCACACACAGTAGTGTCTCTTGAGTATCCCGATTTGTCACTACCTGTAATGAGAATAAAATCAATTCAGGTGTTCTTTATAATAATAGTAATAATAATAATAATAATAATAATAATAATAATAATAATAATAATAATAATAATAATAATAATAATAATAATAATAAAAATAATAATAATAATAATAATAATGATGATGTACAGTACTGTGCTGGCAAACTCTGGTTATATTGGTACAATAATGCTATTTGTTTAATCCCTTCACTCCAAGACACCACTTTTATCAGCTTATTTGGCAAATTCTAGATGATTTGATTTAGCACAGAGAGATCCCTGTACACAAGGGGCTAATCACACATTTTCAAATGATTGTTACATCATTTGAAATTTTAAGCAAAACTAAAATACAGGTATGAGGGAGAAAGGATGATGATTAGAAACATGAAAGAAACACCAATAATCTTAAATGGATCACTGGTATACTCAAGGAATTAATCTGAATCACTTGAGGGAAGGGTTCATTGAAAGGCCACTTGCCTTTAATCTACAGTATTTAATTTAAACAAGCATACAAGAAAATATATTTTACCATCCTTAAGCTGCCCACAGGCTGTTTGACTGTCTTTCTATCAGTATATTGCTTCATTATAACTGGCTACTTCCACCGATCAGGTAACACATCCCATGGTGGCACATTGGAGGCCTAAAATGGGCATAGACTGAAAACCCTTGTGGGAAACACAACTGCCCTCAATCTTCCACAGAGGCCTTGTGAGAATGAATAAACATTGCCTGCACCACTAGACAAGAGACACACCATCATTAATTTTGTTATCATTGTAAAATGCCCGATGTGCAACAGAGTACAAGCCAAAAGACATGAATAAGTCAACAACATCAGTTGACCTGAAGAAGTACACCAGATGTGTCTGAGTCTATATGTCAGGCATTACTGAGGAAATTCCCCTAGATTGGCAGGATCCCCACACTACAACAGCAACTTACCTGCAAGATGGTAAAGTTCTCCAACACACTATTCATCATGTATTTCTCTGGTAGATGTTTGAGTTTATGGATGAAGTTGATCATGTATTCACACATGGGTGAGCGGTGGATGCGATACACAAACCGGCCATTCTCGAAACGGGCATACTCTGTCTCAACTTTCTCTACAACCTGTTTGCCAAATGAACACACTTTTGTGGAGCAGGTGATTGTCATATTCTCAGGACTTTCGTATCTGTGAGGGAGAAGGATATACATTAACAAGCTTTACTCCACAAATCATATCTTCTACTGATGTTTGCCATACAGGTACAGTAATATCTACGTTAGCCGGAATCCTTCAAACCCGTAACTCTCCGATAATCGGAATTACTGTAGTATAATTTTATCGGAAAATCGTTTCCAAAGCTGGAATTATTTTCTGGAAAACTATGAGAAAATTTTCCTGATACCTGTACCTGGAAAATTCCGGGGATGGGGGATTTTATTTTCCGAGTTTGAGAGATGAAAATCAGGTGCATTTTCTGGAAATTCCGAAAAAATATTTCCATTACCGGGTACCCGGAAAATTCCGGGGATGAGGGATTTTTTTCCCGGTTTGAGAGATGATGCAATGAGCAATTTACTTCCGAAAACTTTTTCCTTTACACGGAAAATTCCGGGGATGAGGGATTTTTTCCGGGTTCGAGAGAAGATTTAATAGGTAATTTCTGGAACTTCCGAGAAAAATTTTCCGTTACCTGGAAAATTCCTGAAAATTCCGGGGATGAGGGATTTTATTTCCGGCTTTGGGAGAGTCGTCTTATTACCCAGAAATCTCTCATTCCCGGAAGTGCTCTGCACCAATTGTTCTGGCTAACGTTGATATCACTATATGAAAAAGAATTTAAAATTAATTTTTTCTTATCCCTGAAGTTGTACTAAACCTGATGAATAATATTTAGAGGTTTCTCTGGAATGGATAGCTATGGAAAACTGAGGACAGACAAACAAACAGAAAGAAAGACACATGAATGGAGACCAATCCATATGTCCTGCTATTATTTAAAAAAAATAAGATTTGTAAGCATGAGAACAGCAAAAATGTGAATGTCCTAGAGATGTAAATGTCTAATTACACACTAAACATAATGATATGGAAGAATTTAATCCTAACAGCTCCCACATGAATTCATAGTGAGAAGGTATCTCTTGGTACAGTACTGTATACATGTATACAAGCTTTAGCACCAAAAAGTAACTCCCAAACCTTAACATACAATGTACCTAGAAAGTTATATATGCTCTGTTTATCAACACAGTATTTATTCCCATGCAGATAGGGTTGGGTTAGGTGTACAAAGACTCATATGAAAACCAAGTTAAACCAAGTTAAAAGAGTATACAGTACAAAATAAGCAGTATCTATAAATAGTAAACTAAACAAAAATTTATGAAAATGAAAGTGCACTGAAACTAAAACCAGTAATACTGTATAAGTTACTGATGCTGGCTACAAGACCATGAATTAGGACTTTCACACACTGTACATCAGTCAATTAGGTTTGTGCCCAGGTCAATCTTTCAAAATGTGTATAACTGCTTTTAGTTTTAGGATAAACCCACAAGAGATCTGCTCAATCTTTTAATAATTATCAATCCTTTAGAAGGCCAAGTATCCCTTAGGTATTTGTTTCTAGCTAATGCCAGAAGATTTTTTTTCAGTTGAGGGGAGTTCCCGCCAACATAGGGTTTCCTAGCCCTCAATTCACAGTACACTCCAAACTCAACATTCTCATCATATGTTGAAAATGATAATGGATGGAGTAATTGAATGATATCACCATATTAGGCAGAGAATAAAAGGAAAGTAATGAAGCTGAATTTAAAATGTTGAGATGAAATGGAAACAGATTTTACACTAATCAGATGTTTATAAAGATTACCTCTTGTGTTTAAGAATGAATTGTTCTATGACCTCCTTGGTGAGAAATTATTAATGATACAGAAGATGCTGCATCCATCTCTTAGGATGGACACATATATGATTCCGTGTCAGGTAGTCGAGGAAGACTGGACCACTACTCCAAGAATATAATTCATTATTTGATTAACATCTAATGTTACAATGCTTAAAAAAAAAAATGTTAAGTTACATGTGTGTCTTGTGTGATGGAATACAGGAATGATGAAAGAACAACAGTTGCGACTAAAAATACCACTTACTGGCTTGTAACGCCATAGAATGTGCCAGATTCATCCTGAATGTTGACATTTAGGTCAGCCCAGAACTTAACAAGGAAGAATGCATTTTGAGGTCCCTTGTCATAAAGCTCCTTTAGGCCACCTTTCTTCTCAGGGAACTTGTCATAGATTTGTCGAATGTCAACCGCCTAGAATTGAAGAAAAAAAATGACTTACATAATTATTCTAAATGACTTAACTTGTAATATGCATTCTATTATAAACAAAGCAGATCATTTGAAAGAGGTGAAAGGTTTATCTGTTAGGAAGATGGTTTGGAGGTGAGTCATGTACTGTAGTAGTAGAAGCATAAACTAAAGAGGCATTGATAAGAAAATTGTTGAATATGGTGCACACAACAGAAGTGATTATGAAGTCACATACGGTAGGTATTTAAAAAACAATATGAAATAAGTAAACCACAAAAACATTTGATTTACTCAGGCCCTTTTTACTAACATAATTATTTAAGAAAACAAATACTGTACAGTATACCTGCAGCAACACACTTGGTGAATTTTTAAGCCTTTAAGGAGTACTGCCCCCACAAATGCTCATAAAGAGGTACATTTACAAGATGATGATGAATATGATTATAAATACACATACTGTATACATTAATACATAAGAAGAACTACAACATAGTGTAAAAATCTACAATAATGTATGAAAAGGAAGCAGCACGTGTGAAGAATATAGAACATAAATGATGACAGCAAAAGTATCAAAGGCAACTACCTGGCCGCTTTAAAGCAGACAATGTTCATGTTGTAGTACTGTACAACCTCCCATATCCCAAATAAAATAATTTTGGGGGGTGAAAACAAGAAAGAAGGTACCATATGTCACAATGAAACTCAAAACTTACTGGTATGTCTATTAAATGATCAATGATAAGTCAGGTAAGATCAAATGCAGTGGAAGGAACTGGGCACATATTCAGTGAATGTGGTATTATAAAACAGTAATGTGAATGTGCTAAAATGAGGGAGGAAATGTTGAAGGGAAGAGCAACTTCCGTTTTACAATTTTACTTCAATATGAAGATTAGTTCTATGGTGACAGGACACCAGGTTGTATCAGTACCAATGTTAACTTACCTCTAATATGGGATCCGCATAGGTTGCTGGCCCTCCTATGTGTACAAATAGATGTTTCTGATACTGGAAAAAAAATGGAAGTAAGTTAAAACACAAAACACACCAACAGGGTGGCGAACATAATGTAAAGCTTTTATAATATTAGCTGGATGATAAAACTATATCCGAGCCTGAAATGATGAATCCACAAAGGACTCTTTCATTATGTTTAAATGAGTACTGTACTGTACAATGGGATTAATAAAAGAAAGATCTGGGTAAAGGTAAACTTTTTAATCACAACATTACTGTATTATCAATAAGGAAGCAAAGATGATGTGGTTTACTGAATATGCAACAAACTCTAACATTAAATAAATTGCACATACAAGAATATAGTTACTAAAGTGTGTTAATAAACAATTTGGCAGTGCTACATTATAATTTTACAGATAAAAATAACAATACAACAAAAGCTGTGCCAAGTGAGTAAAACAACACAAAATATAATTTGCTCATAAACAATATATCTGAGACACTAATAACTGCTAAAGCCAAGGTTATGATTTTACAAAGTTATGCTTGTTATTAAACTGATACATCCACTAATACACTGTACAAAGTTATGATTGTTATCATCATAACTGATGCATCCACTAATATACAGTACAAAATTATGGTTGTTATTAACCCCTTTCACTATGGGGCACCACTTTTAATGTTTTATTTGGGTAATGCCAGATGATTTTATTCAGCACAGAGAGGCCCCTCATACCCGAGGGGTTAAACTGACTTGTCACTATATTAATATGCAGTACAGTATATATAAAAGATGGGTACTTTTAATTAAATGATAAAAAAAATAAGTGCTTGTGAAACAATGTCGTCCATGCAGATCCACCCTGGCCAATGTACAGTACCTCTCTATATACTGTATCCCTAAATGTACCAAGTACCTGTACCATGAAAATCTGATAATTAGAAGATTTGATTCTATAAACAAAAATTCACAGACAGAGATACACCAATGATTGCCCTCTCCCTCTTACCCATCAGAGCCAGGAGTTGGGGGAGGGGAACAAATTAAATATGCTAATGAACAAGACTGTGCTAATATTTACACTGTTGGTGATCCAGGTACAGTACAGTAAAACAATTTATCATACAAGTTACTAAACAACATTTCACTGCTAGTTTATGTTGCAATTGAGTTTACCTTAGTCAATTAACTGTGACAGTGAGCATAACACTATCAACACACACACAAAAGTAAAAAATACTTGTGTTAAAATATTTCAAGAAAGCAGACCTATAAAACAATGTATAAGATTTTAGTGCTGTAATTTCACTGTAATTTCAAACAGTTTAGAAACTTTATAAATCACAAAAATTTACTTTGTTACAGAACTGGACTTACTGTGTCGGGATCTCTCTGAGACTCCATGAAGGCGCTGAATTCAACAAGTCGCAATTTCTGTGTAGCGATGGATCTTCCCTCCCATGCTGGTACTGTTACAGATGGGGCAGCAGCAGGCTGAAGCAGGCCACCCATGCCCCCCACGGGAGGTTTAGTCTCTCCGCCCATACCAAACGGAGACTGAGCAAAAGGCTTGACACTGAAACCACAAAATTCATTAATACAAGTAATTTATACCTTGATACAAAGGTGAAACAACAGTGTCTCAAGGAGTGAAAAAGACACAGTCTTTGTGATAAGTAAGAAAGGATATTTTGGTGTTATACTTTAATGAAAAAAATCTAGTTTATTTGAAGTTTATGTTCATTTCTTTCAATCTTTACAGTACAGTCAATTAAATTATTGTTCCGTATTTTATTTACCTTAACTTAGATTTAAATAATTTTATCAAAACAGGCACGAGACTTACTCCTGACTTGTCCCAGCCTGTAATCCTCCTTGCCAGAAAGCACTGGCATATGACACTGGTGGTGGGGGTAGACCAAGTGACGTCTTGCTGTGCATCGCTGTCGCAGAGACAATCTGCGCAGATGACATGGAGGACATTGTGTGAAGTGCCTTCTCTTTTGTGGCAGCATCCTGCAAATGGTTGGATAATTATAAATCTATATTCTTAGTGCTATGACTACTGTACTTTGGTGGATATTGAAAAAGAAATAAAAAAAGTAAATAAATAAAATACCCTGCAAGTGAAGGCCTTATTTGTCAAGCTAGGAAGCAACCCTTTCATATTGATGTCATCAATTTTCTGACTAATGTCTTTGCTGGGTGGAAAACATAACCAGTATCTGTGTATGGATAATATTGTATACTGGTTCTGTAAGAACCTTTCTATTTTTATCAACACCTCAGGTAGAAATTTTAAGTGATGGAACTGCAGGTATTGAAAAGATTGCAACATTTATTTGAAAGATGATCCTGATACTATTTCATGGAGTCATTTGCTGATGGAAGACTTGGGCAGCAGAGAATTAAATTTCTTGGGTAATCTTAAATTCATATGAGACAAAAATCCTGGACAAAAAGATATGTCTTTGGGTTTTAATATATTGTAGACCAGTTTGTAAACAGCTTCAAAATACAGTAATGTATTAATTAATTTTCTCTCTGGGGTAGTCTTTGATTACTTTAAGGAGATGTGACCCAGCCTGGCCAGCTAAGAGGATGCTTGAAAGTCTTACATTTAATACCAAGTTTCCACTCTGTAAAAGTGGGTTGGTGATAGGAAGAGCATCCAGCCATAATACTGGCTTCAAATTCACCTGATGGCAACTGGGACACCATGCCATCATGGCTAAACCATGCAAGTATAGAAAATGGTTGTAAACCATGACAAGAGAAGCCATCAACTTTTGCTAACACTCAACAGTGCCCATCACTGGCTACTAAGCATTTTTTTTTAATTACAAAGATATTACAACCCATTTTATGACGAGCTCATGAAACTTTACATAAACCCTAAAACTAAATGAATGAGTAAAGAGGAGGAAAAATTCTTAAACTGACTGGATATACCCAATCTGAAAACTAATCAGTACAGTACAGAACAGTACAGTACAGCACAGTACAGTACAGTACAGTATAGAACAGAACAGAACAGAACAGAACAGAACAGTACAGTACAGTACAGTACAGTACAGTACAGTACAGTACAGTATAGTATATACAAGTCCAGCCATATTTTGATAGTACAGGTATTGTATCAATAAATTCCTTGGTAGTGATAATTTAATAATAAATTTTGGGGGGTATTTCTGTCTAAAGGTATACAGTATTGGGCAATGATTTCTCGTCCATCATCTTATTAGCTCTGTCACATCCATATTATATCACAAAACTAGTGTGGAACCTACAAATATACACACTGACAAGATAAAGAAAACGTGTAACTGTTATCTCTGACATCATGTAAGTTTTACAATTAGTCATGGACTCTAATGGCTATGAAAACCAAAAATTAAATCCAGTTCTGTAATGCAAATACAATCAAGGGAGAAAGTATAATGTTTCAATTTGTGGATTCTCAGACCTCAGGTAATAAGTTTTTTCCTCACTTGGATTAAAGAAGATACTACTGTACTCAATCAATCAGATTACCGTCCTCATATCTGAGGGTTGGCGACCACAGTCCTCCACTCTAAATGTTCTCAGGCTCTACACAACCTGACAATTCACTAAATTATGCCTAACAGATACATTACTATGCTGAACACAGAAAACATTTAACTTTATTAACAACAGCTTAAGGTTTGGAGGGAATTACCATAAAATGACATTAGTTCTCAAATCCCAGGCAATTTTTCAAAGACTGATCCTTCCCATTTTTTTATCTTAGTGTTTTTCAACCATGTTTAGTCTCTTTAGTCTTTTCTTGTCTTCCTGCTGTTACATGCTGCACATAGGAAGTATATAGTATGTATACAGATATTTTCTTGTGTATTAATCTTTTTTATTTTATGTTTTGATGCAAGTACAATTATAGTACATTACTCCATACAACTATTTTTCTTCTTCTTTTTTAGTTAGTATTTTAGTTTATATAAGATTTTCTTAGTATCGTTTCTGCCTTTGAGTTGTGAAGATGTACGATGATTGAGCTAAATTTTATAAGCTTTTATTCTGCATTTGTCACTATTCCAAGTCAAGGAAAAGACTTAAAAACTAAACTGTGCAACTAGTTTCACATACACTTAAATTGTATACACATTTTATCTAAGACTTCATAATACTGTGTAGTGAGACCTCTATTTAATGGACTATATGGGAGAGTGTAGTCCATTATATCGAGGTCCATTAGATGTGAAACCTTCATATAACGGACTATTCCCATTAGATTGATGTCTGTTAAATGGATGTTTAATTGTACTGTATATATGATCGACCCTTACACCAAAAATGTGTTACTTGTGTAATAAAGTATATTGTTAGTTTAGAAGAATGTATAGTAAAAATAGCTCAAACACATTACTTCCAAATGGGAAGAACTATACAGACATGATCACTGCAACAATCACTTGGATTAAATTACTCTAAAATTTGATTATCTGAGTGAAACTGATTCCTCCTCTAAGAATAAAAGTTTGAAACAATAGACAAACTAATAAAAATAAAAAAATACTTGCCAGTCTCAACATTCCGCCATTGTCATCAGACGTGCAGCCCTACAACAAGGTACAAACACAGGTAAGTAAACATACAAATTATTTCACACAGGCTACCTAGCTGCAATCTGTCACTTTTGTAATTAGACATAATTATATATTGTATATATAAATATACATATTCTGCTACTTAAGTTATGGACGACTACCACATTTAAGTGAAATTATTTTAAATTTAAATTTATTTTAAAATCTGATAATTAAAAGATATTCATGTACTGTAATACAATTCCTATACAGCACAGTATTTGTTATAAAACTTTAAATTAAAAAATTTTGCTAAAAAATCACTAACATGAATAACAAATTCCTGTACAAAAAATTTTGTCATCTCAAAATAAAGTGAGCAACTATATTGCAACAATGAAGCCAGTTTTAGTAGGCAAAAAAGCATTATTAAAGTGCTTGCTGGATTTGAGCACATACTGTATGTGATAAGGATTAGGGTTATTACTCACAAAATGATCAATCCAAACTTACACAAATATCAACCACTGTTCAATAATATATTTCATAAATGTACGACATGGAATTCATGAATTAGAGTCTCACGCATATTTCCTGCTACTGTATGCACAAGCTATGTACAGATATAGTGAATACTCGATATTTATTTATTTTGAGATGTTTTCTATCCCCCACAAGACAAACAGTATAGTACAGTGTACAGATATGAGTCAGAATACCAAGAAAAAAATACTTCATTTATCTAAATTCTGAAGTTACAGCACAGTATATCTCAATGGAAATACTGTCTTCTGTATCCTACAAGAATCAAAACAGGATACCGTATAACTTGATGAAATTTCCTACTGTAAGGATGTGACTACTGTATCTTCAAGTTCCCATCATACTATATGTAGTACAGTACACAGTGTTATGTGTTAATATCATCTACTACAGTACATCAGTTTGGTCTCTACTGGTGATGATGAGAATATCAATACCATGATACCATTAAAGCAAATTTCTATGCAATAAAAGTACCAAAGACACAAAGAGAACAGGATTACAAGCAACTGTACACTAATACTACAGTATATTTTATATTATCATACCAAGAAATGATGATACCATACCGTAATTTCCAGATACTGTATAGGGTTAAAATTTAAATATCTTGATACCATACTAAAGTACATTGTACTAAGATTCAGTACCCAATATATTCAGATACCATAACAACAAGAGGTAGTCATCATACCAAAGTATCTTGATACAATACCAAGAGTAGCATTGCAATATTTTAACGAGATGTAGTATGGTGTTATATCAAAATATCTTGATACCATAACATCAATATGCATTAAATTGTGACAATACAATACAGAAGTAAGATAAGAGAACAGTATATGACGCTAGGCTAGTGTGGTACTGACTAGTGCATGAACGAAGCCTTCCCTTTCCCCTCAGACAGGTAAGAGTGAGCATATCTGGTGTGCAACTAGAGTGTATAGACTACTGTACTAAAGAGATGTACATCGCAAGTACCAAGGTGCAAATTTTGCAAACATTGTACAATACTGCCTCACCACTCGGCTCTTGCAAGTGCTCTCAAACGGAGAAAGATAGCGAAAAGAAACCAAGGATGATAAAATAAGGAAAACCAAAACAAGTGGCTGAATGAACGTCTACTGCCCCAAAAGCAGTGCTGGTGAGACTGGGTGCAAGAGTAACCAGGAAGAGATTTTTCTTTCCATGTTTTTTTTCTTATTTAAAGAATATATTACAACAATGAGAGGAAGTGAGTGTGTCAAGTGCACGTGCCCCGGGGAGGTGGCTGTGGCCATGGTTACGTTAGGTGAGGGTCACACTATAATGTCCTGCTGAGGAACAAAGCAAAGACTCCAACCTCACCCCCGCCCGGTCTTACCCCTGGTACATCCTGCAAAAAGAGAATTTCACTTGTGAGTCTAACAGGAAAAAAAAGCATACTGGATACCGTACCTGCTTTGTGAAATAAATAACATCTACAATGAAATCCGTGTCACTGAGGCTGAATACTGTAGTGCACCACAATATGAAAAAATTATGTTAAAAGAAGCTGCTTTTCTCTATTAAGAACATAAGAACATAAGAAAATAAGGAGTCTGCAATAGGCCGGTTGGCCTGTGCATGGCAGCTCCTGTCGAGAGTTACTACCACCCTCTATAATCCATGAATCTATCTAGCCTCCTTTTGAAACTTTCCAGCATTCCAGCACTTACTACAAAGTTGCTAAGCGTGTTCCACTCGTCCACCACCCTAATTGTGAACCAGTTCTTTCCTATCTCCCTCCTAAACCTAAACTTATCCAACTTAAATCTGTTGCTCCGAGTCCTATCCTGCTCGGATAGTATAAGAACTTTATCTATATCCCCTTTATTGATTCCTTTCACCCGCTTAAATACTTTTATCATATCTCCCCGCACTCCACACTTGCAAATATTTGTGTTGAAATAATTCCTTGTGCAATTATGCTATTATTCATTTCTCTACTGTACCAGGGGCATATCAAATCCTGTATTAGTTATACGAGTTTATGTTGTATACCAGACAAATTAACTCAAAACCTTTATCTAATGCAGTAGCCCTTGGCCCATGTCTCACCCACGAATAAAAAAAAATGGGACTTTTTGGTTTGATGAACCGCAATTTTTTAAAATAAAAATTCATTTATCTGATGCAGTTTTACATTCTGATTTCAAATATACAGGTGCCATATATATATTTTCTTGGAGACAATATTAGAAAGCACCGAAATGATTACAGTGTATTTGAACTGAGAAATATCGTGTAGAATTTTCTTAAAACAGCTCTTCAGGTTAGGTTAGAATAAGTTAGATTAGGTAAGGTTAGAGTAGGTTAGGTTGGATTGGGTTGGGTTAGGTTAGATTAGTTTAGGTTAGGATAGATTAGAATAGGTTAAATTAGAACAGATTATGATAGATTAGATTAGAGTAGGTTGGGTTATGCTACACTAAACTAGGCTACGTTCCTGAAAATATAAAATGATGGGCTGTTCGACATTTGTTACGTTTATCAGGCTAGCCTCTTCTATTCACTTCTAAATATTTCATTTTTTACCCTTTTCAGTACTTTATACTATTTTCTAAAAAAAAAATATATATAGTTTCAAAATCAGAATGTACCACCATTCAGATCCTAAAAGAAGAAAAAAAACATTAACTACAGTAAATTATGAAGGACCTATTTATAACCACACCAGACAAAAACAGCTACTGTATAAAGAACTAATTAAGTAGAGGAATGTATGTGTGTGAACGGTACTCCATATTATTTAGGTTAAGTTCGTTTATATTCTCTACCATCTTAAATAGTTAGCCCTGTTATTGTTCTACTAAATCTCTTTACCCTTTCTCCAACACCAGATTGACATTCTTTAAATTAAACTAACCTTGGAATTCTATTAAAAAATTATCAGGAAATAAGGTGGCGACCACCTCACTCTTTTCTTACAACTTATTCGAGGGTAAACGTTAAGTTCAGCTCCACAACTTGTTTTTTATATTATTATTATTATTATTATCATTTTTTAATGACAGTTTGGTAAAGTCAGCCAAAGATGCACCTACCCCACCCTAGGTCTCGTGCTCGCAATTTTACCTGGTAATAGTTGGTAAAGGAAGGCTGTATGTAAAGGTGATTGTGATTGGTGGATCTGTTTTCGGCTGTATCACTGTCAGGTTAATTATCAAACAAACCAAAGGTATATTTTTTATAATAATAAACTATTCATTGTTATTTAAGGTCATTAGAAGTTTCAAAATGTTCGTATATTTGCTTAAATAATGAAGAAATTATATTAATGAATTGGCAACTTTACAACCACAGCTGCCACAAGATTCTCACATCAAATTTTCTTCATTATTTAAGCAAATATACGAACATTTGGAAACTTCTAATGACCTTAAATAACAATGAATAGTTTATTATTATAAAAAATATACCTTTGGTTTGTTTGATAATTAACCTGACAGTGATACAGCCGAAAACAGATCCACCAATCACAATCACCTTTACATACAGCCTTCCTTTACCAACTATTACCAGGTAAAATTGCGAGCATGAGACCCAGCGTGGGGTCGGTGCATCTTTGACTGACTGTACATGTTCAGCTTAGTCCTGTTGTCTGATCATTTTACTACCATCCCCAAATTTACACAAAGGCTAGAAAAATAATTACAAATCTAGCGAAGCAGAGTGGAAAAAATTTCTTTATTCGTCCTGGTCGTCAATACAAATCTGCATTTGGGTGACAAAGAAAAATAATTTGACAAGTATAGAATTTGCCAAGGTTCAAAAATTAATATTTACTTGCTCTCCCACCAGATTTTTCATTCTGTATCACTAAAACAAATGTACAATATTGATAAAGATCTTGTCAAAAATATAAATTATCTGGATATAAATTCTGTAGGTGGAATTAAATTTATTTACCAACATAAGTATATTACCATGTTTTAATCCCAGATAAAATTAAACACATCGCAATGCTTCAATCACCTAAATGGGATTAGTGTTAAGCTTAAATAAGTACAGGTATTAATAATTTTTTTCCCTCTAGTATTGTAGCTACCCGGCAAACAGCGGCCATATGGCGACACTTGGTACCCCAGAGAATTTCTGATTTACTGTAGTTTTGCCAGGTGTCCATAGAATAACTTAAGGTTTGGAAGATTAACTAATGCTTATACTGTACCTCGTTATGTGCGATGCTTTTCAAATTAATATTCTGTTAATCGACATATCTTGGTTTTGAGTTCACTATGTATATACTGACAATGTTTAAATAGCCAAGCAAAGCTAAGAGATTACGAAAATTTCAGTGGTTGTAATGTACAGTTTCAAAACTTCAGAAATAAATACCCGAGAACAAAACAGAACTACAAACAAACTGTATTTGAATCAAAGTGGTAATTAAAATCGTATGGCCTATACCCTCCCGTGAAAAAAATGCATACGCCATAGAGGTGGATACGGTATGAGTTACAGTATGTATAATTATTTCTAATTAAAACTTTTTGTTACAACCAAGAGCTCTCACCAAACAGGTATTTATAAACTAACCAAATTAATTTATAACGACCTTAGACAAAAATAAACTCCAATAAAATACATTCATATGCAACTTGGTCTTATTTTTATTTAACACAGTAAAGTAAGTCTTGCATACCACCAACATGGTCCTCCTAAAATGGGATAAAAATTAAATAAACCACCAATTAACGTTAATATTCCCCTTTAGATACATTTCTTACTTGTGTATGCAATTTAGAGTTTCATGTTCAAATTAAATCTTTTGACTGTGGAAATGTAAAAAGTAAAACAATATTCTACACAAATATGAACTGCAGATTATATTTGGGTTGTGCTTTTTTATATGTACATTTCCGCAACAACAAAAATAAACCTTTACTATTAAACTCTGAATTGTATCCGTAAATAAGAAATGTATCCAAATCAATTACGGCTCTTGGTGTTGGTTTGTTGGTTACGTATTTCAGGACCACCACCATCACCACCACAGCTGTTCTGGACCAAAGTAAAGGAACTGTGGCTGCATCAGAAAGTGCTCGTTAAACGCAACATAAACATTTCTAGCTATATTATAAGGTCACAGGTCGAGGCGTGTGGTCAGTTCCGGAAATACCAGAGGAATAATAATCAGTGTAATCATAGCATATATTCTCAAGAGTTCTTCCACTTATCCACCGTCTCTCAGGATATATAACACCATTATTACACTCTTGCTGCGGTAAAAAAAAAACGCAATTCCCGCACAGTTGTTTTCCATGAAGAGACACTTAAACAACCTACCAGTCCACCATAATCACGCTTTTGTCGTCTTCGTGTAAAGCACAACCGGCTTCGCTTCCTATATTTTCAACCCATTTCCATGGTCAGAGGAGGAGGAGGAGGAGTGACCTTTAAGATGAGGAGGGTTTGACCTGTGAGGAGGAGGAGGATGTAAGAGGAGTATTGGAGGAGGTGCTCACCTTAAGCTTGGCCTGGATCTCCCTCAGCTTGCGTCTGGCCAGCACCTGGATGTGAGAGGACACTTGCTTACGAGTCCGCGTCTTGCCTGTCCTTAGCTTGATGTAGCGGGCGATCAGCTCGTTCCGGCCTGCGGGGGGACAACAGTGGTCAGTTATCTACACCATTCGTCTTCACATGTGATAACAAACAAGTTCATATCCTAGCTACAGTTGTCAATAATAACAAGATAATATTCTAGTTACAGTTATCTTTACGGTATCGGCGCTGAAAACCCGTATAACCTCAGTTGCCTGGAAAACCACCTTCTCGGTAATTTTCACAACCATTTTAATCTATTGTTGCATCAAAATTTCTGCCACCAAGAAGTAAAAGCTTAAAATACACGAACTATTACTTACTATCTAAAAATATCAAGGTCGAGAAGCTGGGAATGGAGTGAAAATTAATGTAATATAAATAAAAACAATTTCCTCGACTACTGTACTGTATAATATAATGGAAAATGGCTTCAAATCGTTTTATTATATTTACTTCACATAACAGTAAATGCTTCACAACACACACAAAAAAAACCCATTGGTGCTTTTAAACGAATTTTACACAAAGTGGTTAATTCTGTGTAGACCCTCAGTATTAGGGCGGAGTAAATCCCTGTTTCCATGCTGGTGGTACACGTTGATGTGGCGCTTGGCTGATAGGCTGCAGTGAGATGCCCACAACACCACTACACATTTTCCCCAGAGGCGGCCGGGTTCATCAACAGGTGGTGGTGGGTGATGCAAGTAAGTGTGTGTGTGTGAGCCCAGATATACACGAGTGGGTGAGAGAGGCCGATGGTGGAAGAGAAATGAGAAGTGGTGGGAGGAAAGAAGGAGAGAGATTTTTAAGATGCGCTACAACAAAAAACAAATAAAACATGGTGTAAGTAACCCGAGAGGCAGAGTTACCGAACAAAAAGCAAGAACACTGAGATCATTATCGGTACTGTACACAAGAAACACAAGGATATTATAAAGAAAGCAACACACAGGTCTGAGGGGCGGGGGGGAGGGGGGTATTTTTAGCATGGAAGGAGTTATGATATTAAAAAAATTCAGATTGGAAAGTAAAATTAAATATAAATATATGGCAATACTATGACACCAGAATAAATAAAATCGCAAAAGGAAAAAGTTAAGATAAAAGTAGGAAAACTGATAACTAATCGTATAGCCAACAATTTCATGACAACACAGAAACTCGACTTGTCTTAACTTAGAAATATAAAGTACAAAACATGTAAAACAAAATTGGTGGTAATTAATCTCCTACTGTATACATTAACAAAGAGTAGAGACAGCTATCCCTGAGTGGTGTAGACTATGGTGAGGTGAAGGAGACTGTGATGTATTATCCAACATAACAAAATCTTCATTATTGTGAGGTTCGGATATGGCAGTGTTGCCACTCATCACTGGCCGGGAACACTACAGTACCTCCTGTGACTGCTGCCTTCATAGACAGTCAACGACCTGGTTATAACACTTGTATGGAAACCTTTAAGTGTACCTGTAATAGTAGACAGCTTTGTTTACATAAATATCCATGTGGTGTACATAAAAGAAATCGAAATGAAAACTCATGTATTCCGATGGGAGGGGTTATTTATTGTCATGGGCACACGCGTTAAACGACCTTATGTCGCCGGGTGGTAGAGCCGCCTCTCTCGTGCCAGTAGAACACAAAGACGACCTTAATGGGGCGCAAAGTTGATTACTAAGAGATGACCGCAGGGCAGGTGCGACCAGCGGGGTCAAGAAGTCACTTTTACAGCATTTTATACCGCTACCTCGTAAGACTTACACATTTACCAAGTATGCCAACTAACACAAACTGAACATTCCACTAAAAGTTGTACAGGCCAGCAGAGAGAGAGAGAGAGAGAGAGAGAGAGAGAGAGAGAGAGAGAGAGAGAGAGAGAGAGGACTGGTACAACCTGGAGAGAGACGATAACAACTCGGCAACCAGGTTAACTCACGGTTCATACTGTACAGGTGTTGTTAATAACTAAACACATGTGGTAACAATAACAACAACAACAATGGCGCCAGATTATTATTATTATTATTATTATTATTATTATTATTGTTATTATTATTATTATTATTTACGTACATGCAAAGTATATTCATTTTCCTGTCTCAACTTTCCCTCACCGCCGTTAACTAAGACGTGCCCTAAACAACGAATAAGACGACAGATAAATAGTGGGTAAAGAAGATGGAAGATAAAAGAGGGTGTGAGAGATATTAGATGAAGAGAATGGGACATAGAAGATAAGGCAAAATAGATAGAGATAGAGGAGAAGGAAAGAGAGTTGAAAGATGATGTATGGAATGAAGGAAGAGAGAGAAGAGGAGGAGGAGGAGAAGGAGGAAGAGTGGGTGAGAGAGTCTCTTTATATCTTGCAAGGAGTTGATAGCCTTGGGTTATACAAGGAGGGAGGAGGAGGAGGAGGAGGGGGGGGTGAGAGAGCAGTAGAAGGAGGAGGGGAGGGAGGCAAGGGAGGAGAATAAGTGTAGCATGGAGGAAGGAGGAGGAAGGAAAACTGACACACACACACAAAGGAGTAGACAAATGCAAGGAATGAGAAACAAATGATAATAATAGGCAGGTTGTAGGGAGGGAGGGAGAGTAAGGAAGTAAGGTACGAAAAGCAGAGACGGAAGTAGAAAGTAGGTCAGTGAAGTAGGGAGTAAGGGAAGTAGGTAAGAATTGATTGATTGAGTGTCGTAATTACATCCCTGGCGACGCAACAGGTAAGTAGGTAAGTATGGAAGGAATAAGGCAAATAAGGAGGGGGAGGGAGAGACAGGGGAGAGACGGAGGAGGGAGGGAGAGGGAGGGAAGGGAGGAGGAGGAGGAGGGACGATGGAGGAGGAAGGAAGGAAGGAAGGAAGGAAGGAAGGAAGGAAGGAAGGAAGGAAGGAGGGAGGGAGGGAGAGAGAGATGATTTAGTAGCAGGGTTCAAAATACATGATTTGTGTCCTCACGCCCTTCTTTACCGAGGCAATTGAGGTGTGAGAAGGAGAGAGGGAGGGAGAGTGATACACCGTTAACTCCTTCCTTGTGTTATAATCTGGGTGGGGGTGGTGGGGGGCCTTGCTTACCTCAGTACTCGTTCCTCCCGCCCCCCCTCCCTCCCTCCCTCCTTCCCTTCTTAGCTACTGCTTCTTCCCTCACCACACTCTAACTCTCTCTCTCTCTCTCTCTCTCTCTCTCTCTCCTCCCTCCTCCTTCTCTCCTTAACCAATCTCCTTCTCTCCACCCCCTTCCTTCCATAATTTTATTGACCCCTTCTTCTTATTCAGATATTCTTTCTGTGTGTGTGTGTGTGTGTGTGTGTGTGTGTGTGTGTGTGTGTGTGTGTGTGTGTGTGTGTGTGTGTACTAATCACCGGGAGACGTAAAATATACATAAGAGGTTCTATGTCTGAGGTAACCCCCACCACCTGTACTGACAGGAGGAGAGGGGGAAGGGGAGAGAGGGGAGAGAGGGGGGGGAGAGGGGAGGATAGGAGTACTATGAGTGAGGGAGGAAGACACACAGAGGGGCGTCATGATCCTGGCGAAGGACAACACTAGTCGTGTTTATGGAGGCCAGCTCGACCCCCCCCCCTAACCCCACCAATATTCCACCCTATGACACCCACCCACCCACCCACACACCTGAACTCCATCTATGTCACCCACCCACACACCTGAACCCCATCTATGTCACCCACCCACACACCTGAACCCCATCTATGTCACCCACCCACACACCTGAACTCCATCATGTCACCCACCCACATACCTGAACCCCATCTATGTCACCCACCCACACACCTGAACCCCATCTATGTCACCCACCCACACACCTGAACCCCATCTATGTCACCACCCACACACCTGAACCCCATCTATGTCACCCACCCACACACCTGAACCCCATCTATGTCACCCACCCACACACCTGAACCCATCTATGTCACCCACCCACACACCTGAACTCCATCTATGTCACCCACCCACACACCTGAACTCCATCTATGTCACCCACCCACCTGAACCCCATCTATGTCACCCACCCACCCACTCCCCAACACCCCTATCTAAGCCTCATCCTCCTGAACTCCCTTCCTCTCACCCCACCTTCCCCAACACCCTCACCACCCCAACATACCCCCACCTACACCCACCCCCCACCGACCCCAACACTTCCCCACCCCACTGCCCCCGGCAGCCCCCAGGCAGGCAAAACAAAGGCAACAGTTGGCCTCGGTGGTGGTACCTGCCGCTGACTGTCTGCCTGACTCCCTGTCTGTCTATATGACTGTCTGTGTAACTCTCTATCTGTGTTTATTTGTCTGTCTAGCTGCCTTCTCCTCCCTGTATGAGTGTCTGTATGAGTGTCTGTGTGTGTTTGTCTCTGTGTCTTTATAGTAGCTACAGACGTCTTATGACCATCACAAAATCAAAACCGAATCATATATGCAAACAATCCTCTATTAACAGTACGAGTCACCCGTATCTCCACAAGCGTAAGTCAGTCCGTGGATTACACTTTTTCCCCGTTAGGTTAGGTTAGGTTGAGAGCCTATTAGGTCTTATAGAGAAAACGTATATATTTGGTGAGGCTGTAGTAACATCGCCCCACTGCCCCACACAACCAGTGAAGATGAGCAAGTTTCCAGAGGTAATGTAAGGCGCGACCACAAGCCTGAGGTGTGTGTGTGTGATGTAGGAGAGTCCATCACACGCAGGCTGTATAAAAATGTAACCCCTCCAGTCATTACAGTAGGTGTTATAGCACATTTATTGGACCACCTGAAGATTAAACACCCCTATGCTAACCTAACCTCCCCTAGGTAGAATAGTGGTGTTTAATCATCAGGTGAAATATATTGGAAGGAAGGGGAGTGGAAGGGGAGGGGAAGGGAAGGGAAGGGAGGGGAGGGAGAGCGAATCTTCACTTGATCCTTATACTGCCGCTGGTTAGATCGTTTTATATGAATCACCGCAGCGACACACACAGCCTGTCACACCCTAGACGCGGTGACTAGGTAAGAAACAGTGAAAAAACCTCCTGGTGGTGGCTCTTGGGACT